TAATGAAGGTAATCTGTATCTAATATATTTAATTGAACTACCAAAAAGCACGTGTGATGCACGTTAGCGATGTGTTTGTATGATCATAAAGTAAAAAGTTACAAAAAGATTACAACAAAAATATAACACAAATTTTAGTGAAAAAATAAAATGATTCATGCATATCAAGGACCCATTGTGTTAAGTATGAAGTTTTATTTTTATTTTTTAAATTCTAAGTGAATAGAAGGTGAGTATAAGAGTTCTACTAAATAAAATTGTCTTCTTTTTTTCTTTTTCTTTTTCTAATTTGTGCCTTTTTAGTGTGATTAATTTAATATGTAGTCAAGAAAAACATTTATATCATTTGAAGTGTTTCCCACGAAAGAAAACGTTTTAAAATATATCCCACCTCGGGCACAGTACCCGGAGGCATTTTTACCTCGAGAATTGTGACCAGGGCAAAAACAAAAAAAAAAATCCCACCTCGGGAATTGTGTGTTCGAGGGCAAGAAATATATATATATTCACCATGTACTGTTCACCTCGGGAACAATACCAGAGGTGACACTGTTTTACCTTGGGAATTGTGCAAGGGGCAAAAAGAAAAAAGTACCTCGGGAATGGTACACCTCGGGAATTGTGTCCTGGGGTTAAAAAAAAAAGAAAGAGATTTGCATTCCCAAAGCTAGACGAGCAAGCTTGGGAATAAGAAATCTCCCCTGCTTTCCTTTTAGATTTTCGCTAACTGACTTGATCGTCGGAGAGCTCTTGGTAGGCACCACACTAGTGTCGTCAAGATTCATCGATCTTCTCTTTGGCCGTGCAGATTTCCTCCCCAACGTTAAGTATTCAGCATTAAGTGATAAATAACAAGTGACTTCAAAATGTGTATCTGTCGATCTCACTGCGATTGACGTCAGCAACTATGGAATGTCGATGATAATGAATGACACGGTGGTATAACAAATCGAAAAGGAAAGAGGCTCTGCATTCTGCTACAAAGGTCAAGGAAAACGATACTTCATGGGACTGCAAGGAAAACGATACACATTAATGAGACTGATTTAGTGATTTGTTGAATATGTGTACCAAAAAGCACGTGTGATGCACGTGAGCAATGCGTTTATATAACCATAAAGTATAAAGTTACAAAAAGAGTACAACAAAAATATAACACAAATTTTAGTGAAAAAAATAAAATGATTCATGCATATTAAAGACCCATTGTGTCAAGAATGAAGTTCGGTGTTTTTTTTTTTTTTTTTTTTTTTTTCTAAGTGAATAGAAGGCGAGTAGAAGAGTTCTATTACATAAAATTGTCCTTTTTTTTTTTCTTTTTTTTTTTTTTTTTCTAATTTGTGCCTTTTTAGTGCGATTAATTTAATACGTAATCAAGAAAAACATTCATGTCATTTGAAGTGTTTCCCACAAAAGAAAATGTTCTAAAATATATAACAATCAAGTTCACTTATTAATAACCCATGTTTGTATCTTAATGAGGTATAGTGTAGATATGTGCTTTAATTAGTCTTTTTCTTCTAAAATTTCAAACTAAATAAAACTTTACAACTATGATTTAAAAATATTTTATTAGATATTTTATTTAAAAAATGAAAAATGTTAAGAAATAGAGAAATCTTCAATTCTTTCTTATAATATAGTAATTTTTTTTAAGAAAAACATTTGTGTGCTTTGAAGTTTTCCTACACAAGAAAACATTTAAGAATAAATACCAATCAAGTTCACTTATTAATAATCCATGTTTGTGCTTTAATGAGGTATATTGTAGATATGTGCTTTAATTAGTCTTTTTATATTTTTTTAAAAAATAAAAAATGTTAAAGAAATTAGGAAAGGGGCTAACGCTTTTGTTATAGATATAGAATATATATATATATATATTTAAAAAATAAAAAAATGTTAAGAAATTAGGAGAGGGGCTTACATTTTTAGTGTAGAAATATAGAAGAACTTTAATTCTTTCTTGTAAGGTAGTAATTTTTTTTAATAAAAATATTTGTGTGCTTTGAGGTTTCCCACAAAAGAAAACGTTCAAGAATAAATATCAATCGAGCCCATTATTAATACAAGCATACAAGATGTATCAAATTGGATTTAGCAATGTGCCATACATTTCCTTGCCAGTTATCCTGACGTCCTGTAGTGGAGGATTTTTGGTTAGGTGAGTTCTAAGAATTGCACATGTCGAATGGGGTCCTTATTTAGGGAAATTGACAGGTTGTACACTAGTTGACTTAGTGGTTAGAGTGTGAGAGCTCTTCCATTCCCTATTAAGGTCCTTACCTTAGTTCCAGTCGAAACCCACAAGTGACCATTACGCTAACGAGCTTGTTTCTGATTCCGTAACTCATAACCTACATTTGTGCTTTAATGAGGTATAGTATAGAAAATATGATTTAATGATACTTTATTAAAAAAATTATTTAAAAAATGTATAAAGTTGAGAAATAGAAAAAACTTTAATTACTTCTTATAATATAGCAATTTTTTTTTAAGAAAACATTTGTATCCTTTGAGATTTTCTTACAAAAGAAAATGTTCAAGAATAAATACCAATCAAGTCCACTTAGTAATAATTTACGTATGTATTTTATTGAGGTATAGTGTAGATATGTACTTTAATTAGTCTTTTTATATATTTTTTTAAAATAAAAAAAAATGTTAATAAATTAGGAGCTGAACTTCTACTTTTAGTATAGATATTCACTTACTAATAATCCACGTTTGTGCAAGGTTTGTGCATGTGCTTTAATTAGTCTTTTTATAATTTGGACCAAATAATTAATAGTTTCGTATGTACATACGATGCACGTGAGCGAAGACGAGAATAAACAATAGTGTTTTAATAGATATAAAGATTGTAGAGGACAGGTCCGAAAAAATTGTAAAATTTTGTAAATTTTATTTTTGGTCCAACACGAATAGGTATTATTTGATAAAACTAAAAAATAAGCATTAAAAATTTCAAGTACTGAATTTTAAGCGTTGAATATATTAATCTGTAAACTTGTTTGATATTATATTAATTTCAAGCGCTGAATTCATTACGATTATTTGTTAAATGCAAAAACTGAAATCTAAATGTTGTATATATTACATTTTTATATTGAATGTCTTCTACACATAATATTATTATAAAAGTTATTACATTTTTATATTGAATGTATATAAAATAATGAATTTCACCAAAGAAATATATCAATCTAACAATGGATATTAATGTCAAAACTGATTATAAAAATTTCAAAATCAACATATAAAATGAATAACTTACGAAAATGAAATATTTATGAGAAGAAGATTAGAATTCATGCACAAATCATTCAATTTTTATTTATATAGTAGATTTGCATCATAACAATAATGTGAGGGTGTGAGGGTTTGATTGCATTATTGTTGATTATAAACTTGAGTGAACCATACAATATATATAAATTTTTTGTTGAATATTATTTATATTTATACTATTTGAGAAGAAAAGTCTAATGAAACATTTGAGAAATTAGAGTAAACTAAAATTAAAAATCTATGGAAAGGGAATAGAAATGTAAAATGGAAATAGAAAGTCCATCAATACTAATTTCAATTTACAAGTGATGGAGAACCTAAAAATATAATATTTGAGGGTAACATTGTCATTAATAAAATATTTTAAAACTTAAAATCACTTACCGTCTTCTACGATAATCGTTAAGCAAGGTTCGTGTTGCTTAAAATTTTGACTACTGCATAATATTTTAAGTGGTAACTTCTTTTTTTTAAGTGGTAACTTCCACGCTAAATTTAAAAATTCCCAAGCCCTTTCTTGTTCTTCAATATCACCGAGTCTCTGTTTGCACTTTACGATCTAAGAAATGAAGTTGTTAAGGCTCTCTACACTCTCTTCTCGTCTTCTTATATTTCTACAACTTAAAAACACTCTCTTTAACAGGATTTGTTGTTCAAATCTCATTTGGAAACAAGATTTACACAAGCCATTTTCTCTTATAGCAAAAACACATGCATCACACATGAGCGAATAACGTGATTAAAATTCTTTGAAAAATTGTGAAAAATTACTTGATGAAAGGTTAATTTCGTATTATAAGAGAAAATGCAAATATAACAATATTTATATTATGAATGTTGACTCTGATAAGTAATTATGTAGATATATAGGAATAATTCAACATTTAATAAATAGTTTACTAGAGGAAGAAAAAAATCAAAGAATTTTTGAAAAACAAAAAAACAAAAAAATCGAAGTTCTTTTTTTTCAAAAAAAGTTTCTATCAATCTATAAACAATCAATTAACTAATGGAATAAAAACAATTGGAAACGAAAAATATGATAACTCCATCATAAAGGGGAAAAAAATCTAAAACCGGTTTATAATAGATAAATAATTCAAAACCTGCAAAACGAAATGGAAATTATTTTGACTAATCATACTTTTGATTTAAAGTTTCTACTACAGGGAGTTGTTAACTTGCAAGTTCAATCTATTAATTTATGAAGTTATAAGGACAAAATGCAACAATTCTACTAATATACTCAAATGGAAGTTGGCGTTCCATTCCCCTCTTGGTTCTTGCCGTTTTGGCCTCCAAGAGCATTCAAATTTTATTTTATTTTTTCTTTTCTTTCATCAATCATTCATGAATTTTCTTTTAAAATACTTCTAAATTCTTATTGAACTAAAAAAACGGGTTTACTATCTTATTTCTAATATTAGTTTGTTCAATTCCTTGAACCTTGTTGTTCAACTACATAGAAAACCAGAACTGCTATACATCGATCTCCTCCATTAAAAATATGTTGAGCACACCAATTTAGGACAAAGATCGATACAAGTTCAAAAAACTCACTTCATTTCGTCCTAAAGAGCTTCTCTCGTCTTTCTTCCAACCGAGCAAACAGAGGTTCGGACAAAATCTTTAAATCACAAATGCAACACAACGCCAGTTTCATGATGCAAAGTTGCTTTTTTGTTAAACAACCAAGAAAACAAACACAGTGAAGAAAAACTGTGAACTAGTACATTGGAACTGGTCAAAGTGAAAAACAGAAAGCAACCCGGGAAACTCATCAGATAACATGATATCCGCCTGATGCTTACCCTTTATTTTAAGGCAATTACAATGCCCAACTGATAACCATAAAGACAACCAACCAAACCCAATACCAACACAACATTATTGGCAAAGACACAACAGCTCTGGTCCATTATTTTTAATCTAGTACAGTAATTAAAAAAAAAACACCATTGGAAAACGCATCACGAATCATGCATGACTGGATGGGAGTGCATACCAATTCACTCCTCTTCGGATTCAGACTCGGCACTCTTGAGCCACTCCACGAAGGGTTTGACATTTTTCCAGATTGGAGAGCTTTTATTGCCACCGCTCAAGCCATTCTGAAACCACTTCACTATGAACTCTTCTTCCAGCACATCATTGTCGTAGAGTGTTTTCAGAACCAAGGCCACCTCCTTCACCGCCTCGGGGCTCGCTTTCCCACAGAAATTCTCAATGGCATGCAGCAGAACTAGCTGGGATCCCTCATCCTGAGTCGCAGCTTCTAGGTAGTTCTTTTTATTGGCCACCTCCTTAGAGAAACCCTTCCCAACACCACCAAAAAGAGCTTCAAACAGGGCATCTACAACCTCTTGAGAAGTTCCAGAAAGAGATCCAAGAAAAGACTCGAGCTGGCTCACAGATGAACCCTTCTTCATGTATTCTTTAATCTCATTAACAAGCCTCTCATGGGAATTCATAGTATCAACCCCATTTTCATGTCCATTAACTTTGGATTTCTCTTCACGCTCCGGAGAGTTCTTACCTGACTTGGGCTTCTTTTCATCTGTGGAAAGCATGACCATCCCAGCCGTGACAGTAGTCAGTTGTTCCTGAATCCGTTGTAGAGCTGCCTCTGCAGAAGTGTCAGTCTGCCATTGAACATCGTCCTCATCATTGTCTTCATCATTGGCTGTCACTGGTTCTTTCTCGTCTCTTTCCACCGGTGAGTTATCATCGTCAGAAACATGGGCTTTTTTCTTTGTTGACACTTTGGAAGAAGCATCCTTGGATCCACCAGAGGAGCCTTTCTTCTTCGCAGTCTCTTTTTTCATTTTCTTCTGCTCCTCATCTGCTGCCTCCCCTTCCTTGAGCCGCTCTCTCTCTGCCCTCCTCATGGCCTTCTTGTCTTTTGACCCCTTCTTCTGCTCAGGAGGGTTCTTAATAATAAATGTAGTGAGCTTGTCCCTCATATCAACATCTGAAAGAAATCCACATGCAGCACATTTTAGGGTAATCATCTGTGTCTTTGTGATTATTATCTCAGTTTCAGGATTACCACAACCATAGCACTGCACATATTTCTTGATGAAATTCTCAAGAAGCCCTGCAAGCTTAGCAGTGTCATGAGCCCCGTTAACATGGGATGTTCCTGTCTTCTCATCAAATTTGGATTGGGCACCAAGCTCACAACCAAAATACTTTGTGGTGTAAGAAGCTGGTCTACCCAAGGCCTTTGCAATATCAACCATGTTTACCACGTTAGTCTTGATGCCATTTCCTCGACCTTCAATCTTTGTTATCATTCTGGGCATCTTATACCTATAAAAGGCATCATCTTTGTTTCCAGCACCAATATTTTGTAAAGCCATATTGTTTTCCACAAAATAACTCTAGACCGGACGTTATCAGAAGGGGCACAAGGTGTCTTTTTTTGGGAGAATTTCTTCTTTAATATTGGACTGATTTTTTGCAAATGGAAAAGGTCGCATAAACTGGCTATAGCCCTGAAATGGCCCAAGACGCATGCAGCCAACTTTATCACAAAAAAGCCTATACTTTTTTCTTGGCTTTGGACAATACTCTCCGAGCAAACCGATTGATGACAAAAAGAGAGAGGCCAACTCAGACATAAAAGAAGCTTCTAACTTAACACACTCCACTTTGACTAACTGCAATTATTGCAGGTTTAACAGTCAATTCCTGAAATATAACAATGGCAGTCAGAGGTAGCAAAAGAAATTTATAATAAAATAAAATATAACCCAAAATGGTCAGAACTGAAATCCTGCACAATTATTCAGATGTAGCAAATAAAATAATCAGTAATTCATAAGTGAAATATTCCAAAAGGCTGCCAATGTCTCTGTAGATAGGTTAATGACAGTTCCACCCAATAACATATCTGAACTCTTCATAAACAGGCACATATAATTCACTTTTTATAATAGTTTTATTAAAAAAATCAAGCATATAGAACTATTATAAAAAAAAACTACAATTTATTAAAGAAAATAAGAAACCTATGGTCAAACAAATTAGTTTGACCAAGAATTTATCAAGGAAAATTTTATAAATCCCTTCATATTACACCCCATATTAAATGATAAAGCATAGAAGAAACACTTTCAATAATGTACAACTTAATTATCAATTGCAATAAAAATAGAGGATTGGATGTAGTAGTATTTAACTATTCTAAAATCTATAAACCTAAAAAAGAGATAAAAGAAACCTCAGATCAGTAAACTGAAATGTTCCAACTTGATGCCAATATCTCCATTCACATGCTATTGACAGTTCAATTCTCTGACTAAGTAAACTCTTCATAAACTACAACATATATAATTCACTTGAAAATTTGAAGCATGTAACCAAAACTTAACTACTATAAATTATAAAGTAAAATATGAAACCTACGGTCCAAAAAATGGTAAGCGTGAATTTATTAAGTAAAAGATGGTATTTCTTAATACAATAAAGAGAAATCAACTACAACAGCCTATGAACATAACTCCCAAAGGCAAATAAAATAAATAAGTAGCATTCAAATATCCTATACTGCAAATAAATAGTATAAGAAACCTCAGCTCGGTAACTGAACCCCTCACTGCAAATATCTTTATCCAGTAGATTACAAACGGTTCTATTCACTAGTACAGCTGAACTCTTCGAAAACAAGCACATACACAATTCACTTTTATACAGCTAGTTTTGTGGAAACTTCAAGCAAATAAACAGATTACTAAACAAAGTACCAGCTACAACTTAGTAAACATGAAAATTATTGTCAAACAAATTAGTAACCATGAATTTAGTACATATATTTTAGTAATCACTTCAAATTAGTTGATTAGGGATAAATACAAAACAACTTTTGCAACTTTGGTAATACTGCAGTTTGCAGATCAGAATAAAGCTTAAACAATGTGAAAGGAATCAAATTTGGATTGGGAAAGTTCAGAATAAAACACCAGCCAGATATGAAGACACTATTTACAATGCAACATGCATTTAAGCAACGTGAAAGAGAAGCCTTAATCAAAAACAAATAGTTAAAAGAAGAATGAAAAAAGAAACATCTAAATAACATGCATAAATACCTAAACAATGTGAAAGGAATTAGCAAAGCCAATAAGCAGTGAGGTATAACTTGAATCCCAATCTTTCAAGATATAAACTTAGAGCTATGAACTTCAGCCAAAAAATGCATTGAACTCATTTAACAAGTGCATGAGCCACCATTTCTCCAAAGTACAATTACAAAACCTCGAGGATATTGATACAAAACAATGAATTATTATTAATAGATAAAAAATAAATAAATAAATAAATAAAAATAAATAAAAAGTACTGTAAAAGCCTCAAATACAGCATTGAATATGCTTGGTAGCGGATTCATTGTTTCATATCAATATCACTGAGTTTCTGTAAATGTACTTAGAAGAATACGCTGTGGCTCATGCACTTGTAAAATGATTGAAAAGGTTTATCAATGAGTTTTTGGCTACAGTTCATACCTATAACATATAAAGTTTATATCTTGAAAAATTAGGATTTAGATTCAAGTTATACCCCACTACTTTTTGTTCCACTCAAATATTGGTGAATATAAATTTGGCTTTTCATGAACATGTTCCGAGTCCAATGAGTCGATCCATGGGTTTTTTGAGATTGGATTGTTTGCACAAATACTTAGCAAACCAACACAACCGAGCATTATGATCCAAGCCTAAGCTATTCCTGAACGACTCAGTTCAATTGCGGCATTATGGTGCATAATGTGATAAAGTTTGACTATCAAACTACTATTTTTATTGAAGTAAATAAATATGTCAAAGGAATCCCTTTCACATTGTTCAGGTTGTTTAGATGTTTCTTTTATCATTCTTTTAACTGCCCATAAGAGCACAACACGAAAATCAATTTATCAATTCAAAATAACTTAATCTCATCTAACCTTCTTCGTCAAAATACGAGCTAAATTAGAAACTAATCTCAAAATCTGGATCTGAACTTCAACCAAAATAAAACTGGTAAAGCAAGGTAAAAGAAAATCAGATCATCGTATCATCTATTTACCACAGAGAAGGAGAGAAAATAATCAAGCGGATCTAGTACGATTCAATAAATCTAAACATAAATTTTAAACCAACACATATGAGCTACACAATCAAAACTGACAATAATAATATCATGACGACAATTAAGGGCGATACAAATCAATGAAAAACGATTGAACATAGGTACCGATAACCATAGAAATCAATCTTAAATTGAAATACATGAAACGAAGAAGGATTTGAAGGGAAATTAGGTTAGGTTAATACCTTATATGAGAGAGAAAGCAGGTGAAAACCCTAGTCTTTACGTTGCGTGGAAGTGTTGGTTGAATATGGATGAAAATTGAGCCGAGAATGCGAATTTATATAGCAGAGAGAGAAGCGAAACCCTACCCGTGAAGACTCGTTATTAATTAATTAATTCAGGGCAGACTCGTTATTAATTAATTAATTTAATTCATAATTCATAATTCATAATTCATAATTCATAATTCATCGCCGAGATCCTTTGAGATTTTTTTCTTAAATATCTGTCCTTAGGTGTTTCAAATTTACCTTTATGGGCCTTTCATTCTAAATTTACAAATTTTGAAAGACTTCTTTCTAGATTAATTGTTCCTAATAAAACACTTTCACAATATACAATTGTCCAAACAAATACTTGCATTTAACGTTTAAGGGCTAATTATGTAATCTCGCAATTGTAAAACAAATGGTTGATGAACATTTTACCAAAATAAAATATAAAAAATGGTCGATGATCATCTTAAGAAAATGTATGTTCTTCTCATTCCATCACTATCAATAGATAAGGCTGACGTGTTCAATGACTTTATCATACTTTCTACTTTATCTCAAACATCAACTTGAAGACGATTGATTTTAAGAAGCTTCGTGACTTCCAAATTTCCAATTTCATTTTGGCTATGTTGTGACATAAGCTATTTTGATTATTTCAAAATGCCATCTATTACGGTTTTCGTAGTCCTAAAGCAATCATATATTCTTAAAGCCTCGGGCTAGGTTTGGTATTTCATGGAGTAGACAAGTGTTTACTTTGCAGTGTTTGGTTAGATGAATTAAAATGACAAAAATCCAAACTATTCTAATTAATAGAAAATTCAAATTGTAACAAAACCAAATTATATAATGTGTGGGATTTTCTATTGCATGCATGGTCGGAGTCAGAAAATTGTGTGAGAGGGGACAATAATATAATTTTTTAATAATTTTAGTGAGAACGGTAGTGTAATTTTGTAAGTATATATATATCAAAAATATAAATTAATAGAGTATATTACTTAAATAATAATAATAATAAGTGGGGGAAATTCATTGAATGGCTCCGTCCCATATTGCATGCACCTGCAAACTTTTAACTATCCAATTTTTATTTTATTTTATTTATTTATTTATTTTTGTGTGTTGGACTTTCTAAAGCATCTCATAATTCAGCACCGAACACATACAATTCACTTCCCATATGCATCAAACAATTACTATAATTTTTTTTTTAAATAGTCTCAAGGGAATTCAAACTTCCGACCTCCAAAATATGAGATGAGAGTCTTTTCGTTAGGCTATCGACTTAAAGTTCTTAAATTAAATGGGATCAACCACTATAAAATCTGATAATTAGAAGTTATGATTGTATATATGTAGTGTGTGAATTTTTTTTTTTTTTTTTTTTTTTTTTTTAAATTCATGTCGCAATCTAAATATGTTTTTGTAGATTGGCAGAGCGTCGTATATTATTTTGTAAAACATGCAACACGATTTGAGTTATGTAAGTTAAGGAAAAACTAAAGTAATTTTTTGAGCTCGATCACCTTCTCCAATCTATCAAAGTTGTGTTCTTCATTGGAAAATATATAAAGGTTTGTGACTGATGAAAAGGGAGATTTGGTAAAGAAAACCTGAGAAATGATTACCAAATTAAAGACTATAGATTAACATTATGAGATTGCGTCACAATTAATGGAGTTGTTGATTGGTAATCTCTTATAGCTTTCTAATTTCAAATTAATTTTGTTTACTACTAAGTAGGGCTAAGTGGGCCGCAACTTGGACGAGTTAGGCGGGTTTGAGGTATAACTTGAGCACAACTCACCATATGAAGTATTAAACCCAAATCCAACCCTTGATCGATTCTCAATCCTAACTACCAACTCGAGTTCAGTCTATCTTTCTACTTTTAAATTCAGGCTTGCAACTCGGGCTTAGATTTTGTGTTAAAAGTTTGACTTAATTCGAGTAACTCATATGGTTAATCCTCACACCGAAAATTTAATAAGATCTTGAATTAATTTTAAATTAAATTACTCTTAAATAAAATAAAATAAAAAGTTCAAATACTTTTTTTTATAGATTTTTAATAAGTTACAAACAAATTCTTAGAAAATTAAATTTCCTAAATATTAACATATAATAAGCTAAGATTTAACAAACGAAATTGAAAAGAAAAAAAAGGTAATTATAGTTTAAATATTATGTATAATGTATTTTATAAAATAAATATATATATGAAAATAATATTATAATTCGAGTTCGGGTTGGTTCGGGTTATTAACACTTCAACCCAATTCCAACCCTAATTCAATTTGGGTTGAGATTTTTCTAATTTAAATCTAACCCTAATTGTAAAAATGATTGTCTAAACCCACAAAAAGTGGTCTGAGCTCGGGTTAGGTTCGAATTTTCTAACCCAAGTGCACCGCTGCTACTAAGTTATTATATTTTGAATTTACCCATGTCCTTCAAAGATTCAAAAGACAAATTCTCCTCTACGTCTTATTTAAAAATCATTTTGGAGAGTCGAAATTTTTAATAGTAACATTTATTACATTCGAGTGGTGTAACTCTGAAAGATTGATTTTTTATACTTATAATAAATGGGTCGATTCAAGTAACAGACCCATCAAACATAGGCCGCTTTTAGTGGCAGACCCATCAAACACGTTAGGTAAGTCCATGCATTTTTCAGCCATTTGCGTAATTGGAGTCCCTTATACATATTATTTGTTATCGAAATCCATTTGCGCCCCGGGCATAGCTGTGATAGTTGGAGCTTGAAGGCAGGTTTGAAATGGCCGGTGTTCGACTCTTCCCAAGCCATCTATTCCTCTCGATCAACTGTTTGTAACTTAGGGTGGGTCCCTAAGGGACCCTGTTTAGGGGAGTTCCTGTTTTCCAAAAAAAAAAACTTAGGGACCCAATTATGTTTTGTGAGTCACAGTTCCCGAAACATGACATTTTTTTTAGATATGAATCACAGTTCCCGAAGCATGACATTTTTTTTGGAACGGAAAAAGTAATAAAAAAGAAAAAGGTGTGTGTAGATACCATCAGAATATAAATAAATAAATTATATGAGTTAGTGACAATCAAAACATTCAACTAGCAAAACAAGAAATCTAAAAAAACAAAATCTAATTTTAAAAGACTTATTGCATCAAAATGAATTCAACCAACCCATCATCATTTGAGCGAGCGGAAGAAATATTATGACACATAATCAATTACACTCATGTACGAAGATAACAATGTATATTTTATATTCAATGCCTAAATAAAAGTTTGAGTGTTATGTGTAAGGACGAGTTAGTAAGAAAATTAGTTTGAGTCCAAGTGCCACAACTTCATAAAATGTGCCTTTTCCTGACGCTAATTTGTTATTTTACCTCTTCTAATACTTTATATTTCACCACCTAATGCATACAGCTCTATCGTGTTTTATAATTATTAAATCAAGAATTCCATACTTTTAAATAATTATTGCGATATAAATTTAAAATTTTTGAATTGTCAATTCAAAACAGATGAGATCCTAGAGTGGTGAATTGATTTGAATTGAATATTCTTTCATAAGAATCACTGGACGGACAAAGAATTGGAGGTAGTAGTAGATTATTAACAAAGGACACTTTATTTGTAGGAAAGTGATGTATATATGTACGTATGTAAATTTATATGCAAACCGAGTAAAACAATGACTTAACTGTAATTAATGTTATTGATATTCATAATATACATTATTTTAAATAAGAGAATTTTTTTTTTCACATTTTAAATAAGAGATGAGTAAGATGGATTTAAGAGACTTAAAGAGTGGTATGATATGCATTTAAGTTTGCGGCACGGGTCCAACCTCTATCTAATGCGTTTCTTGCTTGTTTTGAAATTTGGAGTGATTTTGACAAAGTTTTGAGAACTGTGAGCGTATGATACTAATTATATTGTTTCGACATACAATATTTTTTTAATTTTTTTTTTATTTTTAGGTAAAATATTTTGTTTTTTAAGTATTTGACAAATGTGTAGGTCGAGACTCGAGATTGAGTTGGAATTGAAATAACATATAAAATAACATATTGAAAATTAATGGGGTAAGTTATTTTTGATAAGTTTTAATATTTTTTACAAACGGACTCTAAATGGAAGTTTTGAAAACGATTTTGACTAGAAAGTTTTAAGACGTTCCATTACTTGTAGACTATTGTAGATTAAACATCCTCTCATTCTAGTTTTCTTGTTAGGATGGATTTGCAAGATGAAATTAAATTTAAGTTTAATTTTGTGTTTTATAGTCTTACTATGTTATACGATTAAGTACAAATTGTTATATGAAATTATCGGATATTTAGACAACTAACACACACTTAAGGGATGAAATGTGCAGAATAGTGAGAGAGAAATAAAATGGAACAAAACAGGGGTATTAGGCTATTAGTGGAGGCGATTCTTCTCTCAATGCACACAACTAATAATTGATGCAGCTATTTGGAGCTTTATCTCCATTAATTAAGATTGACTGGACAATTGATAATTGATTTACTGGTTAGAGACAACAATCGAGCATGGAGAGCTTGATACTCCAGTCCAGTTTTAGTATAAGAACTTTATTCCGTTCCAATTCTTTACCAATTCTCTATTACAAGAACTTCTTACAGTTATTGTTTCAATTGAGATATGGGTGGACAAAATTGAGATATAATTTCAATTTCTCTTCACTCATTCGAGACAAAGAATGATGAGCTTTGAGTCAAGGAGATATACAAGATAATAAATTTTTTTGGTCTATTAGGAAGGAGATTGCACCACTTAATAGACGGGTCTAGAGAGAATTTTTTAAAATATAGGGAGCTTGTAGAAATTTGTAAATACTCTAAAAAATTAACAAATTATGCAAAATTATTAAATGTTTAAAATATTTATGTGAAGAGTTCTAGATAGTTCTTAACCCTTTGTTATAATGACGTACTTGTTGAGATTTATATGCCCTGACATAGCAAATTCCTGTTTGGATTAAAGTGACATATGTTCATGACGTATTTGAAATATTTATGCTTTATACAATTGGTGAATTCAATGTATTATGTTTTGATTCATTATAGAATTGATAGTATCCACTTGATTAC